CGTCATGGCCCATCAGTGGGATTTAATCAAGGATGGGATATAAACAAGGGGAGATATAAAAGAGGTATGACTGTAATAGTAAAAAAATTTAAATATTGTAAAAAGATTCTAAACTTCTTTGTGTTTTTGAAAAAAAAATCTTTCTCTCAATACTTTTTTTATATTTTTTTAAATTTTTATAATCATTCTCATTAAACTCTAAATCATTTTGATGTTCAAAATATTCAATCAATGTATCTACTGCTTTCAAAGCATCTTCATTGGTTGCAATGACTTTCAGTTCATCAATATCTTCACCTTCTGATTCATTATTTACATTGTTTGCTTCATCCAAAACCATTTGGACTATTTCATCATCATCTAAAGGCTTTTCTGTCAAACTCAATTCATTATCATTGACATATTCCAAAATTTCCAAATCATCACTAAGATCTGATTGATTTAAAGATTCAATTATTCCATCAGTGGTAGCTTGTTCTATTTCAATTGCTTCTTCATTGGTAATTGGAAAAATTCCTGTTTTTTTCCAACAATTAACAATTGTATTTTATTTGACAGTACTCCATGCTTCACCAATAAAATCGATTGCTTCTTTTATATTCAATTTCTATATTAAAAAAAAGTGTAATTAAAATAAATAAAATTAAATTTATAAAAAAAAAAAGAATAAACCAACTTTTCAAAATTTTGTCCAAGTTCAAATTTTCTAATAAGGTCACAAATATATAATTGCTTGTAATTGACCTAAAGTAATAATAACAATTTTATTTGATTAAATACACCCAATGTATCTACTTATCATAATGTATTTGTGTCCATAGGCGAATTTGTATTATCATTATTTATAAACCATAGAATATTACCTTAAAATTATTGATGATTCCAGCATCCATAGGTTGTAAATGAGCAGTTGTATTTGAAGGCAGAAAATAGATTTTAATATTGGTTAAACGTAAATCATTTATTTCATTATAACCTTCAGGTTGTTCATCTAAGATTGATCCTGGATCCACATGGAATGGTGCATTGTCAATTAGAAGCAGAATATGTTTTCTTTCTCTTTGAAATTGATTATCCAAATTTCATAACCAATCTTCAAAAATATCACTGCACATCCATGCTTTTGGAGTAGACTTGTAAATAACAGGTAACAAAGACATATTTACATTTTTGAAACATCTTGGGTTGACAGACTTTCCAATTACAATTGGTTTAAGTTTTCTTGTACCAGTTGCATTAGTTGTTAATACACTGTCAATCTTTCTTTATTCTTTTTTAAATTTTAACAAAAAAAATTACTTAGCTTTCATTAAATTAATTAAATCAAGTTAGTTTCTATCATGCAAACCTTTTTTTTTCCTGAAACTGGATCAGTAGAGAGAGTTTGATTTGGAGACATACAATAAAATAAGCCAGTTTCATCAGCATTAAAAATATTTTCTAAATCATATCTGCTTGTAATTTCTTGCAATTTATTTCTCAACAAAGGTAAATTTTCTAAGGGCGCACTATTAGCTTCTCCATGAATTCTTACAGCTTTTAGATTATTTCTTTGTTTGAACCTGCATAACCATCCATTTGAAAATACTAAATCATTTTCATCAATTCCCAATCTTTCACCAAGTACTTTCACTTTTTCTGCAACCACTTTATCTATAATAACAAGACCTTGAGCACTAACTTGACTAATCCAAAAACTCATGGCCTTTTCTAGATCAGGGAATTTAACTGACTTATGATGAAAAATGTTATAATGAGTTGAAGATGAAATATTTATCCATTTTTCTTTATCAGATAAAATCTTTGTTATTGTTGACCTGTCAATTGTTAATTGTTTTATTTCACTAAAGTAATCTGCTATTTCTTTGTGGGTTTTTGTCATTTTCTTAATAATAGACACAAACTTCTTTTTTCAATAATTCACTTATAGCTGTACGTTTTTGTTCTTTCTTCTCTTGAAACATAATTAATTAGTTATTAAAAATGTTAAATTATTAAAGCAAATATTTGGTCTTTTTATACAAATAAAATCAATATTATATAACAAAAACTTATTCTTTATTTGCAATTTTTAATAAATAATATATGATAAATACATAATAATGACATGATTTTTAAAACAAATTACAATCCTAAGATTTTTAAGCGTAGAGTGTAGTCATGTGATTTTATATATGATCGGCGAGGATAAATAATTCCCGAACCTCTTTTAAATCACTTGCTTCATACGCAGCTACACCAAAAACTAGTTTTCGTGAGACGAAAATTAACACAAAATCCATTTCAGAATATATACAATCATTTTGCTAATCACTAATAAAACATATAAAATATATTAATATATAGAAATAATAAATTTTAAGTGAATAATAACCATATTATTAAACACCAAAAGAAAATTGCCTGTTTTTAATCAAGGTACGTGTAAGTGATATTAGTTTTACTCATGTAATTTGGGATCATTAAAAACATTTTAAAAATAGAATTTTTTGAAAACAACTATATAGATGAGTTGAGGGATGGTAATAGAAGTCAATAACAAGATAGCAATAT